CACAGATTTACCCCTTCCATCACGGTAACATAAAACATATAATTTCCATGCCTTTATCCGTTTTTCTCTTTGGATTTGATAGAGAAAAACGGACGAAAGTTTGCTCGTACTGCCCAATACCTGTATGTCAAAATTTACATAAGAAAGAAGCTTTCTTGAGAACCATTCGAAATATTTGGGTGTTTCACGCCGCGCCTGTTGGGATCGTCCCATTTCCAGGAATACTTATTCAAGATGTGATAGCCAAAATGTCAAGGACCACACAGATGTCAAGGACCATGCCTGCTCTTATATTAATGAGCGATAATTACTGGGGGGGGGGGGCTGCGTATGCGTATTCTATAGGAGCTTCTATAGGGAAAATGCGTATTCTATAGGAGCTTGAAGCTTCCTTGAATCTTCCTTGCAAGATCGAAAGATAACCACAGGATAAGCCGGTAACCAGTTGTACGTGCGCTTGGCTGGACCTAGGCGGGGCCGCGCGTGTTGTCCGCCCGCCGGGTCCAGTTTAGCCGCTATGGTGAGATTTGTCCGCTGGCGTTTGTGAATTTGCAACGCACGTTATTGTTTATAATTCTTATACATGTACTAGTCACCATTGGATTAAGTACGCTGGCTTTTGAACTTCTGCCACTATATTATAGGATATCATTTTCTCGCGATTTTAGCATGTGTAAAGCTTTTACGTTCATATTCCAAACGTTAACATATTCTTTAGGAGCTTGAAGCTTCCTATCAAGATCGAAGATGCTCATGATTTACCTACAGGATAACCCGGTACCCAGTTGTACGTGCGTTTTACCGGACCTAGGCGGGGCCGAGCGTGCTGTCCGCCCGCCGGGTTCAGTTTAGACGCTACCGGGCTTCGGGAGGCGGCTGGAAAGAGTAGAAATCGGCCAAATAGAGAGATAACATGCCGGGGGAGTTTGTCTGCTGGAAGAGAACATTTTGCCGCACCCGAACTTTCTTCGAACTATTCGGGTGCGGCAAAATGTTCTCGTCCAAATATTTAAGATATTTCTGAGAAAGCTTTTTCTTTTGTGAATTGTTGGCGTACATGGATTTGGCAGTAACAAATTTTTACCCTGTATTTTTCTCTCTGTCAAAACCCGTCACATCCCCTTCTCGGCGTTCATTTCAAAACTATAATCTTGCACCGTTAATTTTCCCTTAATATGTCTTATTTTGAAATGTTTGTTAGTAAATTGCAAACATTTATCTTAGCTCATTGGATCAAGATAAAGTATTCGGGATCTCCTAAGAAGGTACGTCCTTGAACTTATAAAACGCCCCCCTCCCCATCTGACTAGGTCTGATTATGTGCACACAGGGACCTGTCACGCCATGCCCCCCCCCCTCCACAGATTTACCCCTTCCATCACGGTAACATAAAACATTATTATTTCCATGCCTTTATCCGTTTTTCTTCTTTGGATTTGATAGAGAAAATAGGCGAAAGTTTGCTCGTACTGCCAAATACGTGTACGTCAAAATTTACATGAGAAAGAAGCTTTCTTGAGAACCATTCGAGATATTTGGGTGTTTCACGCCGCGCCTGTTGGGATCGTCCCATTTCCAGGAATCATAATGACAAGCAATTTACGGGTGAGCTGAACAACACGCATGCCGGGCTTGGTGGGCGTTACAGAGTCACAGATATAGCTGATGTCAGACCTTTGTTGCTAGGGAACGATTTACGTCGATTGTAGGTGCGTCTTTCATTATCCAATCAGCTTGAAGTATACCCAGGTAATTAAGACAGTTGACAGTCTAGCTCTGCGCGAACTCCGTGATTAAACATACTCTCCAAGCAGAGGTTTGGGTTTTGGGGGTATTTTTAGCGTGTTTTTAGGCTTTTTTATCGGGGTTTCTCTTTTGCACTGAATTTTTTTCCCACCAAGTTGGGTTTGGTGGGAAAAAAAATTCAGTGCAAAAGAGAAACCCCGATAAAAAAGCCTAAAAACACGCTAAAATACCCCCAAAACCCAAACCTCTCCTTGGAGAGTAGATTAAACACCCGAAGTTGACTTACAACCGAGTTCTCACGATGAATCCTGAGTAAATACCCAACGGACGACATGATTTTCCCCCATGCAAACATTGATTAATGCCACTCCCCCATAGTTAATATCCAATCATCCTTAATGTTGGCATAACTACAGAATAACTACACATATATAACGTTAAATCACATAGCAAGGATGATGACGTCGATAACAGTACACAATTGGTACGAAATTGACCACAGTTGTTCTTTTTCATATCAGTAAATCTGACAATGTGTTTGGTCCCCGAAAAGGTGAAAACATCATCGTATCTTTTTTTTTATTGTTCTCTGATGTTAACGGTGCATTGCTATCTACGCATGAGCGTCCTACTCTCTATAAAAATGGCGAGAACAAACAGAACATTGGGATTCACACACCTGGTAACCGTTCAGGGTGGAGACACAATGTTTATAATTGCGCATCTTTTGTATACCGATTTACCTAGATTTTTGTGCACAAGGGACCTTCGAAAAATAGTTGGTATGGACCTTTGTAACGCCGCTGCACGAATGCGGTCAGCATGGGGTCAGTGACAAATACGCATCGAAAATAATTTAAGGGAAGATGTGATAGCCAAAATGCGTTCCACAGATGTCAAAGACCATACCTGCTCTTAATGAGCGATGATCACTGGGGACACTGCCGTACCTTGTTGTACGGGTATTGCTCGTGCGTGACGAGAATTCAGAGTTCAGGGTTACTGATCATTACTCCAGTTTTTAAAATTTGTGAAATACTACTCAAAGATTCAGGCAAACTACTGAATGCTCACTGAATTCAAACTGAAAAAAATTATTTTTAATCCGAATTTAAATATTATCATTTAACGCTATGGACACCACTTTATATGACTGGCAAAGTTTAGTATATCTCGGAAAACAATACTATACTAAGAATCTACATATGATGTGAAATTTCGCTTTTATAGCCTACAAAAGTTCGCTTTCATAGTTCAAGTCTACCTTAATACAATGGCTACTTTCATGGACGACCACCACAGCAAAAATGCGTATTCTTTAGGAGCTAGAAGCGTCCTTGGAAGATCGAAATATAACCGTAGGATAACCAAGTAACCAAGTTGTACGTGCGCTTGGCCGGACCTAGGCGGGGCTGAGCGTGTTGTCCCCCCGCCGGGTTCAGTTTACACGCTTCGGTGAGAGTTGTCCGCTGGCGTTTGGAAATTTGCAACGCACGTTATCGTTTATGATTCTTATACATGTACTAGTCACCATCAGATTAACTATGCTGGCTTTTGAGCCTCTGCAACTATATCATAGGATATGATTTTCTTGTGAATTTAGTATATGTAAAGTTTTTACGTTCATATTCCAAACGTTAGCGTATTCTCGAGAAGCTTTAGGCTTCCTATCAAGATCAAAGATGCTCATGATTTACCTACAGGATAACCCGGTAACCAGCCCTACGTTCGTTTGGCCGGACCTAGGCGGGGCCGCGCGTGTTGTCCGCCCGCCGGGTTCAGTTTACACGCTACGGTGATATTTGTCGGCGGGCGTTTGGACATTTGCCAGGTCGTCGTTAATGATTCTTGTATATGTACTAGTCACCATTGAACTAACTACACTCAGTCTGGCTTCTGAAATTCAGCCACTATTTCTAATTATAGGATGTCATTTTCTGGCGAATTTAAAAGCAATTTTGAAAGTTTGGCACCCATCTGGTAATAATCTTTGTCATTGAACTCCACTCACGAGACATGTAATGGTTTAATGCAAAATGGCAAAAGCAGCTAAAATCTATGCGGCTGATCTGCAGTCACGGCTGGAAGGCCAGGATGGTGCTTGGCTCACGCAGGATGCGGTGGGACCATCGTCATTCCGGGGTCCTGTTGGGAAACGAAAGAAATATGGTAAAATGTGTGAAATGATCAACAATAAGTTTGGTTGTTGTTTGTTTTTGTTACTAAATGGATGATTTGATGGTTTAGTGTCTTGTCCAATAACATTCTGCCTGCTGAGGGAGTCTACTGCAGATGTTTCTTACCTCCCGAGGCTACTTCAAGGTTTTGGCCATGTCCTCATCGTACTCCTCAGGCTCGATGTACCCGCTGTTGTCCTTGTCCATGGACTCGAACCAGTCATCGGGCAGTTCGCTGATGTCCACATACTCCATCTTCTTCAGCATCTCCAGAGCCTCCTCCTTGGACAGCTTCATGTCGTTGTTCGTGTCGTGGTGTCCGAACTCGCGGAGGGCCTTGGCGTTCTCCTCCCGATAGATGTTCTCCTGTTCCCCGCGCAGCAGCTCGAGGAGGGTGCGGACTTTCTCGACCACACCCCTGAAGAACAAAGGCAAGGCTGTTGTTAATCTAAGTACGGTAAATAGTGCCCGGTTACCAGCAGACTGGAAGAGATGTTTGCATCATAAATAGGAAAGGCATCCCTCTTTAGGTCATATTGATTATTGCTTACCATGCTGTTTCGACGTCGTGGTCTTCAAATCCGCGGCCAGGCAGGGCGTTCTCTTGAGCTACCATCCTGTGGGTACAATGGCAAAATCAATGTTTATCGAGCAGGGGTCGAAGAAACATAGAAGTCACTTTTGCCGATGCAGGAATGGTTACATTATAATTCGTACGAATTGGTTATTAATGTTCACTTAGTGGCAACAATTACAACACAAATATCTCTATGAAAGGGCACACAAAAGATTGCTTGTGCCTTTTCCATGGAATGTATGCTGGTGACAGCTCACCTCTTACTATTCCTGCAGCCTCCCTGACAGTCACAACAGGCATAGTTGCACTGCCCGACTCCGCAGCAAGGGCCACCCTAAATGTGCAGTTAAAACGTGTTTGTTACTTCACACTTCGTGAGATATACATGTATGCAGTGTACAAATATGCAGTGTACTGTGTACAAATAGGTATATATATCAAAGACCTTAGAACAAGTACTATTTAGTTGAGTCATCCATTGTTTTGTACATACATGTAGGCCAATTTTTTTGTACCCACGTACATGTATGTTTACATGTGGTTTAAGACCTCACGAAAGTCGCTGTATTTTTTTGTGTCAATAAAGTTCTATCACGTCACTTACCCGGGTGCCGTCTCCACATCGGGTACAAACCCCACCAAGACACCGGGTGTTCTTACGGCAGCAAACCGACTCAGCTCGGTCCACGGTCAGCACCATCACAAGTGCGCACAGTCCCAGCACTGCCAACATGTAGTTCATGGTTGCCTGTATAATGGAAACAATCAGGATGAGAGTGCATCTTATACCACCTACTGTGCTAGGAATACATCGGCTTGGCACTGTAGAAGATAAATCTGATGTAACAGGCCTGATTTTAATACTCTAAAAGTTTCTTCTTTTTATAGATATACCCCCCTCTTAATGCTGTATCAAGAGATAAATGGCAACAACGATTGATATAGCCTTGCAATAACAAAGTCTTTTCCCAAAGCTCTCAGGTAACAAATTGTACCTGGCGTATAATCTTAAAGCAGTTGTTTTGGTATTTCCATGTTGTGTGGACGTCTTTGCTTTGAACATTTCAAAGAAAATTTGTCGTAAAAGGCATATCCCTTGTAGAAAACATATAAGTTTGTATTTGTTCACATTGTTGCCGTTGCATGATTGATTGATACTACACTTGACAGAACTGGTTCTCCCAGATATTATCAACATTCAGTTGGTTGAGAAGATTAGATGTTGATTATGCGCGCCTTAGACAGAACCCGCAAATTTGCATTCAACCTTTCCTATCAAAGTGTTATTAGCCACAGAATTCTGGAATAACCTAATAAATGTATCAAACCTAACATATGTAAGCTTACGCCTGTCAAACAAGACCTTCCCACGACCGCAAATCAACCATCGCCAGATTTAAGCCATACCTACCTTTCAATACAAATGGAATCGATTTTGAGTTATATTTGTGTCAAACTTCAGTCGTAACACTGCCCGACGCGCGAACAATTCTGACCTACCCCCAACACCAGCCCAACACCTCCCAACCACAGCTGAACCTCCCGTCCACACCCAAATATTCTTAAAATTTGGACCTCTTCTAGCGCAGCCGAACACCAGCCAACACACAACCGACCTAGCCCCCGACCTACTCCTAACCATGGTTGTGGAAAGTTTGGCAATGTTCGGGAGGCCATCTTCGGCTATGCATGACAGGGAATTAAATTACAACACCACCACCAAGAACATGGTCGCAGTTGGGTCACACTCGTTGGGTCGTGTGGCGTAGCGGCAGAGTGCGCGACTCGGAACTAAGAGTCCCGGGTTCGAGTCCTGACATGCCACCGATCTTGTGCCCTTGGGAAAGGCACTTTACACGACTTTCCTCACTTCGCTCAGGTGAAAATGAGTATTTTCCTGTAATGTATTTGTCCCCTGTGTTGGTGGCGGCATTTTAACCTCCTTGATATAAGTTGAAGAAACTTGAGTGTGTCGTCACCACGTCTGGTGATTACATGTTGGAATAATTAAAAAAAAGAACATGGTCGCCATGTTCAATAATTATCGGCTGATTGAATACGCTTCACGGCAGAGCCTGCTATCCAATAGCCTGGTATCCAGTCTTATGTGATTGGGGGTGCCGGTATTGGGGTGTTCAGGCAGGTTGTGCCTTCGGGGGCTCTAATAGCTTCCCCCGCCCAGTGCAACAGGCCGTCCCGGTAGGAGTGTTACGCTAATAAGAAACAGTATGCTTGGGGATTTGGTTTTCGTGGAGGGCTAATCAATCTCTCGTGAAATACACACCGGGAAACCAAGGAGGTTAAATACTATTAACCTCCTTGGGGAAACCTATGTTAGGCGGGCGGGACAGAGCTCTTGTGGCCCCGACCACGATCAGACTGGATACCAGGCTAGCTATCCAAGGGAACTGAGGTTTGAATGGGTCAACGTCTTCTCTTCTTGTGCTGAGCTAACAACTAACTACAAACATCGACAACCACGTCCAAAAAATCAGATTAAACATCATTTTCAAGGATTAAAACACAGATTTTTTATGAGGGACCATGAACGCTACATGGATTTTACGTCAATAGGGTGTGAGTGACATACAAGAGCAACAATAGAACAGAACGTAAATCAACGATAATGTAGCCGTTTGATGTGGCGACAATGACCCCAAAACTGGCTGAATGGTCAATTTTGTAAGCAAACGCTCACCGTGATTGGATTCCTAGCGTCTGTTGCTCCTCAAAGTGGACTTTGTTGGAGCGGGTGAGCTTGTTGATGTCCTCTCGACGTGGACTGTCTTGATCTTTTGACTTGATCAGACACACCAAGAAGGCGCGGCTTGTGGCTGGCCTTGTGCAGAGTGTAATTATCAGATGTTTGCCCTCTGTATTGTATGGGTGAAGCATGGGTGTTACACATGAGTGTGTAATCGCCCATTTTCCACTTCAAGCATTCTTTTGTGCCTTGAAACTGAAACCCTTTTGTTTTGACATTGTGCCAGTTCCCCTCCACCCATCCTTACAAAAAATACGCAGTCATTTCAACCCCTTAAGAGGGGACGCGCTTTCTGGTGAACGGGGTTAATTTAGGACAGACGCCAGGGATCATGTCATAACCACCCAACCGGTTAATTAAGTTGACAACGTCTGTTTCGTGGAACTGAGGGTGAAGTGTCACTGACCTGTCAGTCAAACATAAGTAAAACTGTAGCTTCGCAAGTTACATGTACCATAGACTTCTTCGTTGACAAGACGAAGTGCTTTATCTGACATTGTGTAGGTTATCACTAAAAGCCCGTGACCTATTGCGGGTATTAGAAAAAAAAAACGTTTTACATTTTCAATTCTTAGATTGCTTTACTCAAGGGGGCTTGTTTTGATTTGCTCTTAGTTGAAGTCTATTTTACAATCCTCAGGTACCACCTAGCGACTTTATCGAAGAGTGCACTTTATCTCTAGAAATTAGGAAAGCAAGTGTCAAACTCCTCAAAACCCTTGCGATGAATCATTGATCTACAGAGCTCTCACGCTTTTCACGGGTTTAGGGATGGTTAAAGAAGAAACCCTGTTATCTATGGTACAGGCTATGAATAGGATATCGGACACGGTTCTTAATTTTTAGTCTACTGCATACGCCAAACACTAACTTAGTAACAAAACGGCAAGGGTCCAAGGGCAATGGTGAAAGAAAAACAACAGCAACAATATGAGACGGACATCAACATGAAGCGTGTAGCCGGATTTATTGCAGGTGAAGTGTACATATGTACTTAGAGAAATGAAACAACAGGCAGATTCATGGAACAGAAAACTTAATTTAGCTCTAGACTTGTCGGCACAGGTCTCTTGTGTGCATTACTGTTATAACAATGGGCACTATACGGACACTACAGCTCATTAGGCACATAACAACCGTACTCCTTGTATACTCCAATGATTCGTTTCAAATGTGAAATGACATTACAGAATTAAAAGAAAGTGTTGTACCTGTATCATTTTGATGTATAACCTACATATTCCAATATTCTAATTATATATCGATTACACTAATAAAACCATCATTATCTGTATTGATCTAACGGATGCACTGCTTTGCACTCTTCTCACTCTTCAGTGACGTGACCCACACGAAACAATAACTGACAAAATCTTTCACCATGCGTTTTCTAGATTTTTATTGGCAGAAATCTCGGTTACATAGAGCAGCAAGTGCTGACCTATGGGTTCCTTGGGGAATTATAAGACGACAGGTTACTATACTAAAAACGTCTCTGTAGGAACTTTACTAGGCAAACTTTGAAGACGTTGAGAAGTCTAGATGAAAATGAACAACATTACGATCAGGTCAAAGTCTTACTATAAAGATATGAAATACTATAAAGATATGAAAGTTTAGAGATGGTTGAAGGAGGAACCCTGTTATCTATGTTACAGGCTGTGATCAGGGTATCAGAGAACAATAGAAAAGATATACGATGATGTTGGTTTACATATTTTCTGGAACAGACCCCTATGGTAGAACATGTATATTTTGGCTCTTTGTGCCCTTGTGGTATACCTAAATATCCTAGCAATTGCAATTGATATGGGACATATGTCCACAGGATTCCATTCAAATTTTACTTTGACATAACCCCTTTCTGGAAGATGGTGATTTGTTACTTTCAACCTTGATATCCACTCACGAACCTTGTCATAGTTAAATGAGGCAAAAGCAGCTAAAATCTATGCGGCTGATCTGCAGTCACGGCTGGAAGGCCAGGATGGTGCTCGGCACACGCAGGATGCGGTGGGACCATCGTCATTCAGGGGTCCTGTTGGGAAACAGAAAAACATGGTAAAATGTGAGAGGAACTGTTCTACAATAAGAAGTTTTGTTGCTGTTTGTTTTTGTCACAGAAATGATGGATTAATTCATAAATTTATTGGCTGATTGATCCCTACATTACTATTATCCCTACAGATAAACTGCTCAGGCCAGCTCAGGGGCGTACCCGAGGGAGTCATCAGTATAAATACCAGCCTATACACGCACGTACAGACGTCTATAAATATTCCCTCTTCCCCCGCACAATCCCACAATGGAACGCTTTGCCTGGCCCGGTAACCATGGCTCCCACCGTTGAGTCCTTCCGGGCCAGGCTGGAGGCCTGCCAGCCTTAGACCAAGGCCTCCCACCCCCTAAAGTGCCCCACCAGGGGCTATATGGGGGTGTAGCCGGGGCTTGAACAACATCCTAGAGCCCCGGCAAAGATGAAAATGAAGATCAATATTGACTTGGCTCGGGGAGGGACGTCCCTAACCCAGCTGACATGCCCTTTAACCAGTTTGGTAAAAATAAAGGGTCTGCTTTAACCAAGGCGTTTTCTACCTGCCGAGGAAGTCTACTGCAGATGTTTCTTACCTCACGGGTCTACTCCAAGTCGTTGGCTATGCCCTGGTCGTACTCCTCATCAGGCTCGATGTACCCGATGTCGTTGGTGTCTAACTCACCGCCGGGCCCGGTGTTCTCCTCCCGGTAGATGTTCTCCTGTTCCCCGCGCAGCAGCTCGAGGAGGTCGCGGGCTTCCTCAGCCACCCTGGTGAACAATAAAGGCCTGTGATTAATCTCATACCTCGTACTCCTGCTGAACAAGTCACAATGAACCAACCGCCAATAAACTGTCTACAGTTTCAAATGCCATAGTTTTGTCCTGGATATTTACAAAATTGAGCCGACCTCTGAAGTTTTAATTAATACCTGATCATTTTGCAGTAGCTACATGTAGTGCTATGGATGTTTGCTCGTGTATTTTTGCCTTTGTATCTGGCCGGGTTTACTGAAGATATTAGTTTTGCGGGAACTATTTTTATGTTAGCTTACCGCTCAAGTTCTTCGTCGGCGCTGTGGTCTTCAAATTCTCGGCCAGACATGGCGGTGTTCTCTTCTTCCAGCGACTCCGGAAGGCCGCGGGAATTCGACACCGACCTTGAGAACATGATATAGAGACATAGTGACAAAGTTTAAGCCTTTCTTTTTGTGTTGGAACTATGGCTTGAACTTTGTAACTATAAATTCTACCAACACAGATAAGCTTTCAATCAACATTGAGACATGTAGGAAAATAAACTGCATCAGAAACATCGGGTCACTTCTACTGAATTCAGAAGATTCTCACGGATCGGTGCAGAACATAGAAAACTAGTGGCCGAGTCCTCACTGGTACCTGACCTGCCCAAATAGAAACCTTAGGTTACATGTAGAAAAGCTGGATTTGGGATTCATGGTGAAACCGTGTGCTTACGTTATGATTAATTGGTGCAATGGATAAATGTTTTGGGGGAACGAATGAACCGACTATTCTACACGAGAAAGCCACCTACTCCTGCCACTTGGTCAGGTCCATCTGGGACAGAGAGGAGCACGCCACCCTCTCGTTCCCAGTCTGTGTGGGCAGCCTGAAGACGTCCGGCTGCATGTGTGTGGTGCCGTCCGTGTTGTCGCACAGGATCCGGGCCAGACTGGTCTTCCTGATCTCCGCAAGTTGGGCTGGAAAAATTGGGAAACGGAAAATGAATATCATTCTGACATGCATCCACTGACACCAGACCTGATCTCCAAGCAGATTCAGTAGGGCAAGGGGACTTATGTATACAGGCTGCCAATGGGTATATACAGGCGCCTAACATAAAGTCTCCTTGCCCCACCGACACTAGACCTTCATAGTTTTGTATGGAACAATCATTTTTGGATCCTTCTGATCAGTTCAGCTGGAAAAAGTGCAAAGAATATGTGACAATGTACATGTATAAAAGGTCCTTAATTCCACTACAAACATTGTTTGTTTTGTCCTATGAAATCTGAGGGGTAAGTTTAGCTTTAGCCAACCTGCTGTAAACTGCCCGCGGTTCTCGAACCAGAAGCGGTCCCCCTTGCGGAGGGCCTGGAACTGCAGGCCGATCAGACAGGCGAAGGTTGGACCGACGACACCGTCCGGCACGGACTCCTCGGCAAGACCCCCCACGAACACGTCGATGTCGTCCACGTGGCTGTGCGAAACGAGACACATAAGACATTAGAAATAGGTACCAGCCACAACATGTGGCAATTTATCAATATGGTTCAAAGTGTGTAGGTTCTAGAAACGTTGATTCACTGCACTGCATGTTTCTAAAATTATGCTTGACTACTGAAAGTACACCATCATAATTTGTAGAACCAAACATATTTGTGAACAAAAACAGCATTTGGCATGATCTTCAGTATGCTGGAATACAAACTCACATACAGATAGACATTTGAAAATATGGGTGCTATTCTACACCAGTATAATGTCCTTGTAAATGCACCTCTACAGTAACATGTTTTGGAAGCCGCACCTGTACACATTCTCCAGTCTCTTTCGGGCGAAACAGTCTGGGATTTCAAACGCCAGGTCGTCGAAGCTGTTGGCTTTGGGCAGGCCACACCTCACCCTCCAGGCGTTGTAGCCGGGCAGCCCGTGGTCTCTGCCCCGCTGGATGTTCAGCGCCGCCAGGTCCAGGCCGAGAGACCCGGGAGGATCCGCAAACAGGTGCTTCGTCAGGCCCGAGACCATGAACCGGTTGAAGTCCTGATGGGGCTGGGCGGTCAGTCCCCGTAGGATGGAGTCCGGGCCGCCTAGGTCGTTGTTGAGGATGTGGGTTGGATTGAAGAAAGCAAAGGCCAGCCGAATCGGACACGCGCTGGCCTCGTTGAAGTCCGGAGCATAGCGGAGGAGAAGGTTATAAACCAGACTGTGGCCGAACCGGTAGGCTGCTGTGGCGAAGACGTTAGAGATGGTGGGGTTCACGCTCGCGTCGTACCCGGAGAAGTACCCGTTCGTGGCGAGGGTCAGGTGAAACTTGGTCATGGCGTCCGGACCGAGAACGTGAGGAAGGTCCTCCCCGTACGTGATCTTCTGCATCAGCGCGCCGACGATCTTCCTGGTCTCGAAGAACACCCGATCGTCGTCCCAGCGCGGGTTGAGTTGGGAGAGCCGCCTGGCGATCCGGTTGTGTTCCCGCAGGAAGACGGTGTGCATGGAGGTCAGTCCCGGCTGCTCGTTCACACGGATGTCCCCAGCCCGCGAGCACTTCTCGGGCCCGGTAAAGTCTTCACACGCCATGTCCTCCTCCGTGGCGGGCAGAAGTTCCTTCTGGTTAGCGTCTGCAGGGTTCGGTCTGGACTTCAGCAGGCCGCGTGCTCCTCCTAAAACCAATTTGTTGGCTTCTCCTAAAACCAAGTAAAACCAAAAGTAAAAAATCGCGCATCATCACGGACATAATGGCACACCACATGCCCAATTACACAAAAAATACTACGTACAGAATAATATGTTTCGGTATTTTTGGTTTAAGGTCGATTGAGATGCATATAATGTGTATTGTGCGTACGGCTGCATATGAAATAAATGTCATGCAGTTGGCAACTCGTACGCAATAAGGATGCGCAGAAGTGCGACAAGACCCCAATGTTATGGCCAATGCTTTCTTTGGTATAACTGCCGTGTCAAAAAAACAACATGTTTACCTCTTTTGCTTAATTTGCGTCAAGTGCCAACAATTCATGCTGCAATGCACCACATGCAACTATTCGCTGTGTACCTTCATTGCACCGATACTGACAAAAAAAAGAATTATATTTTCCCATACCTGACGTTCCGTAGAGGTTCAGCTCTCTAAGCCATGGCTGCCAGCCCGAGTGGGTCCGAGTGACCACGAACCTCCAGTACCGCGCGGTTCCCTGGAACCCGCTGAACTCCTGGCGCTGGTTCGTCCCTCCCCGCACGTTACCGACGGACTTGACGTCCTGCCAGTTGTACGGACTCGCAGAGAGCGACCTTTGCAACCTGAAGGATGCAATGTCATGTATGGTGTCCCCGTAGTTGTTGAGCGCGATGCGGGTCACAGTTTGGGGAGCTGTGAGGTCCAGTATGATGTACCTGTTGTTGGAGTAGCGGTTGGTACCTTGTGGGTTCCAGTAGGTTGCACTATCCCCATCCAAAGCTTTTGTGGCATCATATGTCACTCCGTTGTCGACCCATGGTCTGCCAGAGGAGCTCACGACCCGAACCCGTGTCAGCCCTTCACCTAGGAAAGAGGACACGACTCGTTAAATTCTATCGTAACGAGGAGAAAAGTTGGAAAGAAAATTTGTGCTCAAATGTCCTTTCTGGTACAAGCCACGACTGCCAACACTCATTACAAAGGACGCCAGGGCGCTGAGAGGTCCAGTATTATGAACCAGCTGTTGTAGTTTCTTCCCAAACATTGCGGGTTCCAGTGAGATGCACTGTTCCCATCCAAGGCTTCAGCGACAGCTCCATCGTTGTTGGCCCACGGTTTGCCAGCGGAGCTCACGACCCATGAAGAATACCGTCTCGTTAAGTAAATTCTATCGTAACAAGGAGAAAACGATACAAACGTCAAGTTGTTCCCAGTTGATGCCATCACTAGCAACAGCCACTAGGAGGGAGATTGCCTAATTCACACAACCCTTTCGTTTAAAGAACCGTGTTTTATCCGGAACCATGCTCAGGCACGGTTCTGCACGCGTATCCAGATGGCAGAGCCGTGACTGGTGCAAATCTGCCTTCTTGATTACGCGTAGACTATCCAGAACCTGACACTGGTCTGGATACGATAAAAAAAAACCGAGAAGCAAACAAGTTGGAGGAACTTACGAGGCTGCAGCTGGATTGGCGGGACTTGGCAGATATACCGTCGATGGCCGGAGCAAGGCACGTCGTTCCACTTGCCTCCGGATCCCGGCAGCAAAGTGGCACAGTCCTCGTTATGCCCTGCATTGTTTGGTTCCCCGGGGTGCCAGTTGCTGTAGGAATCTGTGGTAAAATTTGCAGGAAGTGGTGTGAGCAAATTTTGTTTCATGCAGTCTCCTTTAGTTTTTATATTTGTGATGCAGTACTCGGATTAGGGTACCGTTATTCACTCATCATACTTCACAGTAAAACAACAATCATTGACATTTTACATGAAAGCTAAACGAGGACCATTCTTTATTACTTAGCCTCCTTAGCTGTTAAACCCTTCAAAGCTGTCACAGTAAGAATGATGAGACAAAAGAGGCCTGCATGGGGGGGGGGAGTGATTGCGAATTACGCAAAATTTTCGCTGCCGATTACGAATTACATTTTCAGAGCTGATTACGACTTTACGCTTTGCGGCTAAAGTACTATTACGAATTACGTTGACTTAAGGGGAGGTTGCCAACTAAGTACGAAGACTAAAAACGTCTAATTACGCCTTACGAAAAAGGGCATGCAGGCCCCATAGAACAACCAAGAAAGTGATAACTGGAAGTACCTAATGCGGTTCCGTCAGCAAAGCGCCATTGCCCTTCGGCGTTTTGATCACTCAGTCCGATGTAGAAAGCGGCGTCGTTTCGTACCGCATTCTTCAGCTGGACCAGGAACGCGTTAGTGGCGGCGTCTTTCGGCATGGCCAGCCTGCCGCCTTCTGCCTGGCAGGCCTTCATGGCCCAGCTGTAGTCAGGTTTGGTTTGGGAGAAGGCCTTGAAGCAGTTTTGCTGGAAACTTTGGTAGCCTGCCGGACACGTAACTTGTACCACGGGTGGTTCTGTAACAAGGAAGATCCATGGTCAATAATGCTTACTAACCCTTTCGTATCCAGAACCATGCCTATGTAGTTCTACATTTGCACCCAACTGAGTTACAGCTAGGATCAGGCACGGTTGTGGATAGTCTCCGTGTATCTAACCCCCCAAGCACGGTTCTGGATACGTGTGGACTTCAGCAGGCCGCGCGCTACTACGGTACAGGGAAGTGGGATGGTTCCCAAAAGCTGCCCGGTCGGGCTCCGTGTCGGAATTGTTACCTCAGATTTACTTACCAGCATGTTCTCTGAGCTCCTCTATCTCTTCGTCCGAGGAGCCGTAGACGTTGGAGGCGTCCACGAAGGCGGTGAGCTGGTTCAGCTGCTGCCGGCGGCCCATGTGGCACCCTTCGTTCGGACTGGATAGGGAGCGAGCGAACGGCAAGCAGGGCGTCCCTGCGAAGTCAGGGTCGTCTGAGGGGACGTTGATGTTGAAGCAGTGTTCGTCATCGGTGCCACAGGTACAGACGAGACCTGAAGATACCCGGAGGAAAGCGTAGTTATGAAATATGCTGCGTAATGAAAGATAAGGAAGCACTGTACATGATCTGCCGAGCAACTTTTACCTGGGACCAGGGATGATACCGACTTCCAACTATCATTTCACCCAATTTCTAAGACCGGAGATGCCCTCGATAATTCATAATTCGAATAGTCTTATTTCTCGTTTTGGAAACAAGTTTGAATCTTATACTTCATGACATTGTCTCAACTCTGACAGAACTGAATCAGCTTACAGGTGTGTCCTATGTGGTAGAGGTTGTCACTCTCGTGTAGGATTGTTTAGCCATAGCCGATGCTGTAGGTTGATACTACTGATGATTTTACCACGGTCAATATTGACCGACGGGGGCCGTATGTGATATAGATACTACTATTATTCTCCCAACGTCGGTGGTTAATTGTAGAGGTACACATCTGTAGTACAGACGTCTTAGAAACTGTAAGAAATGACAATGCAGATTCGTCTTGCCCCCCCCCCCCCAAAAAAAAACATCACTCTTCAAAACTTACACGTTGCAATTGTTGTGTATTAAAGAGAAACTGACGACAGCCTATATGGTCGCTGCTTCAACATTTGATCGAGAAGCTTTTCATGTTTTCACGAACCTTCTTCCTGGAAGTTGGGCGTGAGAGTGATGTCGTGGTCCAGGAACTGTCCGAACTGCATGACCATGTGGGTGTTGACCGGGCTGGATTTCCGCAGGTCCTCGTGCACGGTAGTGCTGACCAGCCGCGCGCTGGGGAGGGGGGCGCCGCCACGTGCAGTGGTGCGAGGCATCATGAGTCCTGACAAAAAAGAGTAAGCGATTTAGGACCGTGCCTATCTAGTTCTATGCCAGAATGGGTTAGAATCAGGCAATGGATTCTGCATTACCCCTGACATGGTTCTAGATACCTACAACTATACAGAATCGTTCCCGAGCAAGGTACTTAGGTTGAAGCACCGAACATTCTGTTCTACTTCGGGGTTTCCTGAACGAACGCAAAATAAGACAACAGAAGGGACTTTCCCAATGGAAGAGCTGCTAGAAGCGTGATGTAGTCAGGCTAGGGGCCTGACCAGTGGAAGGGCTGCCAGAAGAGTGATGTAGTCAGTCTAGAGGCCTGACCATGGCCAGTGGAAAGTCTGCTAGATGTGTGATGCAGGCAGGCTAGGGGCCTGATCAGTGGAAGAGCGGCTAGAAGCGTGATGTAATCTACATACCGTCGCCGTATTCTGGCTCCAGCAGCCTTCTTAAGGGTTGCTCACTACTTCCCCACAGGGGGTGGTCCCGGTTGTTGCAACGGCCGTTTGCCGAACGGAACTCTGGGACGGCTGGTGTAGGGCACGTGATCGGCTCCATGGAGGTGGCGTCACAAACTCTTGCCACGGTCCGGGAGTCGATGGCGGACAGCATGGCTATAGTGTAGCTTCTACGCCTGGAGCTAAAATCAAGGATTTCTGTCAAAAGACGAATCACCTCAAATGGAAAAAAAACTAGAGCTTACTCCATGCGATTCGGTAAACTCCGTGCTTCGTCAATGGACCTTTTTGCGGACAACAATGCATGCTGGGAGATTGCGGTGCAACATGGATGGCTCAGGTGACGACCAACATTGTTGCCATGGCAACAAGTATGTAATACATGAGTACACTGTGTCTGATCCACTCGAATGGTAGTGATTTTTTTGCCTCTTGAACTACCCAGAGCGCCCCACGTCTACTAGCATGTATTGATATGAAATAGGTCTATGTCAAGTGATGAATCATTTGCATATCAGTGACATCGAAGCAGGTCGGTGGAATATCTCTCGGGACGTCACAACGCAGCTCCCATTAGCCGGCAAGGTAGCTGACTTACGATTACCCTGATATTGACCATGTATTTGTTTTGTCTTCTCTTTTATTCACAAACGACGGAAGGTCTCACCTGCTCATGAAGTGTTTTGCCACCTTCTCCAAGACGGTGGCACACCTGCTGAGCTCCTTTGCCATCGGGGTGCCGCGATGTTCGCTGGCCTGTGCGTTCAGAGCTCCGGAGAACGGGCTTTCCTCTGGTGCAGCACCTGGAAGGCACACGGGGTAAGCTGTCACAGATGTAGTCTCTGAGACCACAGTTTCGTCAACTTTGCTCCTAATGTTGTGTTATTGGACCGGTGTCTGAAGAAGTTTGAATGTCGGAGGTCCTAGCCAATAGCCACACTTGTGCGATAGGGACGTTTACGATATCGCCAGTGATTATAGGGAAAAAATGCAGTGCAAAAGAGAAACTCAGATAAAAAAGCCTAAAAACACGCTATAAATACGTATATATACCCCCCCAAACCAACCTCTGCTTGGAGAGTAATTATAGGGTGCTATAGCATCATGCCCATGTTAAAAATACGGAGGCAAAAGTACTTTCCTTCTCACTTAATGAACGGTCAGGACTTCCGGTGAAAAAGAGTTCTCTTTGTTCTGATTTTCCCAGCCCCATCATGATGTAACATTTCCACCTGACATTTCTGCATGTGCTCACCTCCGGACACTACATGGGCGGCCGCTTCAGCCTCCATTTCTGCTTTTGCCTGAGCGACCGCCTGCTGCAGTTCTTGTTCTGTAGGGCTCTGGCCGGTAACCATGACAACCAGCGGTGCCATGGCAACCGCGGCGAAGAGTATCGGGATCAACCTGAAAGCAGAGAGAACATCCTCGTCACCGTTGTATCAAATCTCCAAGCATATCTTTTGGCGGGCGAACAAATGTATCGATTTAAAGAAGAAAGCCCTATAAAAACGCCTAAAATCGTTAAAAAAATCAGCAAAAGCCTCTTCTTGCAGAGTACTCCGTATCTATGTCTGTATGTCTCGGATAATTGATGTGTTGTGTTCCTGAGATTGCAATACGCGGCGCAATGAATGCGAGTGCTGGGCGGAGAGGTTGACATGGCACGACAGAATGGCAGGATACTAATAATAATGATAATTATATAAACTTAATTTGTACACAACTTGTACGAGGTACAGAGCATGGTATCTTCTGCCATATAACAAACATAAAATAGGAGACTTATTCACATTACAAGAGAGTCTATACAGTTACAAGATGAAAATGTACAATTAATGATGTTATTTTAGCGTGTAGTCATATGACAAGGCGGTACGTGACGGGACTAAACAAGCCTGAACCACCCACATCTGCTTGGAGAGTTGCCAAAGTTTTACAGGTGAGCAGATTTCACCTGTGACATGACAGAGCGTGTCCGCACATTGCGTCGGAATGAAGTGATCATGTTGATGCTCTAACCGTGCCAAGAGCGCATACCCTGACAACAAAGGGACAGAACTGTGTACACTAAAATATAGGCTTAAAACTCCAGAACATAATCACCGAGCAGATCGTTCAGTGGCTGGCTAGACAGTATCAAATTGACAAGACAGTGTCAAATTGGCAGGGTAATATCAAATTAGCAGGGCATTCAAATTGGCAAGACTGTATAAAATTGGCAGGTCAGTATCGAATTGACAAGTCAGTATCAAATTGGCAAGAAAGCATCAAATTAGCGGGCATTCAATTTTGTAAGACAGCATCAAATTGGCAAGACAGTATCAAATTGACAAGACAGTATCAAATTGGCAAGACAGTATCAAATTGGCAGGACAGTATCAAATTGGCAGGGCAATATTATTGGTGTGCTTGCTATGTCATTGAGAAATAAAATCTGAATCTGAACTTTTATCTTTAAAACATACCAAGGGACTTATCATAGAGTGTATACAGTACAACATAAAAAAAGTATGGTGGAATTTTTAGCGTGTAGTCATATGACAAGGCGGTACGTGACGGGACTAAACAAGCCTGAACCACCCACATCTGCTTGGAGAGCTGCCAAAGTTTTACAGGTGAGCAGATTTCACCTGTGACATGACAGAGCGTGTCCGCACATTGCGTCGGAATGAAGTAATTATGTTGTTGTTCTAACCGTGCCAAGAGCGCATACCCTGACAACAAAGGGACAGAACTGTGTACACTAAAATATAGGCTTAAAACTCCAGAACATAATCTCCGAGCAGATCTTTCAGTGGCTGCGAAACAGGATCAAATTGGCAAGACAGTATCAAATTGGCAGAGTAATATCAAATTGGCAAGACTGTATCAAATTGACAAGACAGTATCAAATAGACAGGATAGTATCAAATTGGCAAGACTGTATCAAATTGACAAGACAGCATCAAATTGGCAGAGTAATATCAAATTGACAAGACTGTATCAAATTGACAAGACAGTATCAAATAGACAGGATAGTATCAAATTGACAAGACAGTATCAAATTGGCAGAGTAATATCAAATTGGCAAGACTGTATCAAATTGACAAGACAGTATCAAATTGGCAGAGTAATATCAAATTGGCAAGACAGTATCAAATAGACAGGACAGTATCAAATTGACAAGACAGCATCAAATTGGCAGAGTAATATCAAATTGACAAGACTGTATCAAATTGACAGGACAGTATCAAATCGGCAAGACAGGATCAAATAGACAAGAAAGTATTAAATTGGCAAGACAGTATCGAATTGGCAAGACAGTATCAAATTGACAAGACAGTATCAAATTGACAAGACAGTATCAAATTGACAAGACAGTATCAAATTGACAAGACAGTATCAAATTGACAAGACAGTATCAAATTGACAAGATAAGACAGTAGCAAATAGACAAGACAGTATTAAATTGGCAAGAAAGTATCAAATTGACAAGACAGTATTAAATTGACAAGACAGGATCAAATTGACAAGACAGGATCAAATTGACAAGACAGGGTCAAATTGGCAAGACAGGATCAATTGACAAGACAGTATCAAATTGATAAGACAGTATCAAATTGACAAGATAGTATTAAATTGACAAGACAGGATCAAATTGACAAGACAGGATCAAATTGACAAGACAGTATCAAATTGACAAGACAGTATTAAATTGACAAGACAGGATCAAATTGACAAGACAGGATCAAATTGGCAAGACAGGATCAAATTGACAAGACAGGATCAAACTGATAAGACAGGATCAAATTGGCAAGACAGGATCAAATTGACAAGACAGGATCAAATTGACAAGACAGGATCAATTGGCAAGACAGGATCAAATAGACAAGAAAGTATTAAATTGGCAAGACAGTATCGAATTGGCAAGACAGTATCAAATTGACAAGATAAGACAGTAGCAAATAGACAAGACAGTATTAAATTGGCAAGAAAGTATCAAATTGACAAGACAGTATCAAATTGACAAGACAGCATCAAATTGACAAGACAGTATCAAATTGACAAGACAGCATCAAATTGACAAGACAGTATCAAATTGACAAGACAGGATCAAATTGACAAGACAGTATCAAATTGACAAGACAGTATCAAATTGACAAGACAGTATCAAATTGACAAGACAGGATCAAATTGACAAGACAGTATCAAATTGACAAGACAGTATCAAATTGACAAGACAGTATCAAATTGACAAGACAGTATCAAATTGACAAGACAGTATCAAATTGACAAGACAGTATCAAATTGACAAGACAGTATCAAATTGACAAGACAGTATCAAATTGACAAGACAGTATCAAATTGACAAGACAGTATCAAATTGACAAGACAGTATCAAATTGACAAGACAGTATCAAATTGACAAGACAGTATCAAATTGACAAGACAGTATCAAATTGACAAGACAGTATCAAATTGACAAGACAGTATCAAATTGACAAGACAGTATCAAATTGACAAGACAGTATCAAATTGACAAGACAGTATCAAATTGACAAGACAGTATCAAATTGACAAGACAGTATCAAATTGACAAGATAATATCAAATTGACAAGACAGCATCAAATTGACAAGATAAGACAGGAGCAAATAGACAAGACAGTATCAAATTGACATGAGAGTATCAAATTGGCAGGTAGTATCAAATTAGCAGGGCATTCAATTTGGTAAGACAGTATCAAATTAACAAGATAAGACAGGATCAAATAGACAAGACAGTATCGAATTGACAAGACAGTATCAAATTGACAAGACAGTATCAAATTGACAAGACAGGATCAAATTGACAAGACGGTATCAAATTGACAAGACAGTATCAAATTGACAAGACAGTATCAAATTGACAAGACAGTATCAAATTGACAAGACAGTATCAAATTGACAAGACAGTATCAAATTGACAAGACAGCATCAAATTGACAAGATAAGACAGGAGCAAATAGACAAGACAGTATCAAATTGACATGAGAGTATCAAATTGGCAGGTAGTATCAAATTAGCAGGGCATTCAATTTGGTAAGACAGTATCAAATTAACAAGATAAGACAGGATCAAATAGACAAGACAGTATCGAATTGACAAGACAGTATCAAATTGACAAGACAGTATCAAATTGACAAGACAGGATCAAATAGACAAGACAATATCAAATTGGCAAGACAGTATCAAATTGACAAGACAGTATCAAATTGACAAGACAGTATCAAATTGACAAGACAGTATCAAATTGACAAGACAGGATCAAATTGACAAGACAGTATCAAATTGACAAGACAGTATCAAATTGACAAGACAGGATCAAATTGACAGGACAGTATCAAATCGGCAGGACAGTATCAAATCGGCAGGGCAGTATCAAATCGGCAGGGCAGTAACAAATCAGCAGGACAGTATCAAATTAGCAAGGCACTGCCGCAGGGTTCCAGCCAGCGCCCGTTTCTCCGTCATTTGACGGAATTTTGCCGCTCATGATGGCCAAAAATTTTGTCCAATCCGTCATATTTGTCGGACAAAAATCCATGCGTGTAAACTGTAAAGACATGACTTTGTGCAGATCTTCAATTTTTCTCCACTGGTGCAAACTGGTGCAAATTTTCGGCGAAGCCGATTTAGATCATCTCTAACGCCTCCCGGGGCCCGACAACGTCGACCCCAGCTAGCCAGTAAACAGAGAGTCAGAGGCGCCGTGGTTGCCGGCTGCGTTATATACTTAGTATCCCCCTCCCCACTCAAGTTTTGGCCGG